TTTAAAGACAGGGTTTCACCATGTTGGCCAAGCTGGTCTTGAACTCCTGACCTCAGGTGAGCCACCCGCCTCGGCCTCCCAATACAGGCGTGAGCCCCCAAGCCCGGCCATAAAATTCTTATTGTCTAAATTGAGACAAATATTAGCCTCAGATATTTATTTGCAAATATTGACTTTTTTGTCTTATATCAGTACATATTTGGACAAAGTCATCTACGTAATAGTTTGTCACCAGATAACTACACAATCTCATTTTAAATGAGTAAGGAGAACATGTGCAGAAGCAAATTTTCTTAAAAAACAGTTGTGGGAAGAGCTTATTTGTGAAAGCTAATGACTGGTTCTGAGGGAGAATTTTCTGGGGAAAATGGGCTCTCTGTTAAGTATGGTTTTCAGATAGAATTCTTTCCTTTTTAAATGGGGGGTTGGGGAGGAATCCACATTAATATTGAAACTGCATCTGTAATCCCAGCACTTTGGGAGGCCGAGGCGGGAGGATTGCTTAAGCCCAGGAGTTCAAGAGCAGCCTGGGCAACAAGGTGAGACCCTATCTCTGCTAAAAATTTGGACTGAACACCGAAAATGTTTATAAGTTCAAAAGCAAAAGTGTTTGTAATTTCAACAAAAAATGTATTTTTCTATGTAATCTTGAAATTATTAAAAGTCCTTTTAGCTTCTAGCACGTGTTTGTACAAAGAGTTTAAGGAATAGTGGCTGGTTTGGTTTGTTTTCTTTAAATGTGTACTGATAGCCAGGTGCAGTGGCTCACGCCTGTAATCCCAACACTTTGGGAGGCTGAGGTGGGTGGATCACCTGAGGTCAGGAGTTCAAGACCAGCCTGGCTAACATGGTGAAACCCTGTGTCTACTAAAAATACAAAAAATAGCTGGGCATGGTGGCAGGTGCCTGTAAGCCTAGCTACTGGGTAGGCTGAGGCAGGAGAATCGCTTGAACCCGGGAGGCGGAGGTCACAGTGAGCCAAGATGGCACCAGTTGCACTCCAACCTGAGCAACAAGAGCGAAACTGCGTCTCAAAGAAAAAAGAAAAAAAAAAATGTGTACTGACAAAACCCATTGCATACAAAACTTTGTATGTAAATAAGATTTTAATTTTCTCTTTATATAAGCTGAGTCTTATTAAAATAATTTGATATTTACTTAGATAATTTCATATAGATTTTATATTCTGGATTTGTGCTTTTAACAAATATACAAAGACTGGCGATCACTGCAAATATTTGTTAATCCTTGAGTTTGAGAACCTGTCTTTTAAAAATAATACTTAATATTTCCTATACTAATTGAGTATAATGAAAATCAGTATTTTTAGTCTAGGAAATAAAGTATATATCCAAAAGAGATATAGTTTCAAACAAGCTAGCAAGGCTTTTATTATTTTTCATTTGAAATGTCATATATTTGCTTAGTTCTGTTTAACTTGTTTTTAACTTTTGAACTTATGAGCTATTTTATATAAATTTTTATAATAAAATAATTTAATTTTCATATTTGATTGAATTGTTTCCTTTCATTCATTGTTTATCTCATGCTCATTCAACGCTTCTTCAGATGTGTACTTTTAAACTGCATTTGGTTAAATACCAGACAATTTTGTATTCAACTGTGAAGATCTTTAATTTCAAATCTTGGTCTGTGTTCAGTGGCTTACACCTGTAATCCCAACAATTTGGGAGGCTGAGGCGGGAGGATCATTTGAGCCCAAGAATTGGAGACTAGCCTGGGCAGCATGGCAAAACCCCATCTCTACAAAAAAATATAAAAATTAGCCAGGTGTGGTAGTGCATGCCTGTAGTCTCAGCTACTCCAGAGGCTGAGGTCGGAGGATCACTTGAGCCCAAGAGGCACAGGTTACAAGGAGCCATGATAACACCACTGAACTTCAGCCTGGGTGACAGAGTGAGACCCTGTCTCTAAATAAGTAAATAAATAAATAGTACTGATTTTTGTATATTGATTTTGTATCCTGACACTTTACTAAGTTTATCAATTCTAATAGTTTTTTGGTGGCATCTTTAGGTTTTTTAGATACAAGATCGTATCTGCAAACAAGGATAATTTTGCTTTTTCCCTTTTTAATTCGAATACCTTTGATTTCTTTCTCGTGACTGATTGCTCTAGCTAAGATCTCAGTACTACGTTGAATAGCAGTGGCCAAAGTGGGCATCTTTACTGTGTTCCAGATGCTAGAGGAAAAGCTTTCAGTGTTTTCCTTGTTCAGTATGATACTAGCTGTGGGTCTGTTATATGTGTCTTTTTTTTTCATTGAAGTATGTTCCTTCTATACCCAGTTTTTTGAGGATTTTTTATCATGACAGGATGTTGAATTTTATCAAATGCTTTTTCAGCATCCATTGAAATGATCAGATGGCTTTTGTCCTTCCTTCTGTTGACACAACGTATCACATTGATTTGCCTATGTTGAACCATCCTTGTATCCCTGGGATGAATCCTAATGAGGAATGATCTTTTTTTTTCTTTCTTCCTTTTTTTTTTTTTGAG